ATACTTAGCAACAGAAGGGCGCCCTGTACGTTGGGCACGAAGTATAGGAAACTTGCATGGTTAAAAAGAAGGGCGCCGCCTACGTTGGGCACGACTTCCGCCTCATTTTTACAATGCGAGAACTCTATCTTGTATTTCTAGTATCTTTGGCTTTAGTATGGTACGTGTTCGGTAGTTGCTAATACAACGGGTTCAGCCGAGGGGGCGTGGCTTCGTATGTTGAACACCTATGTTGGACACCTAGAATTCTATGTGTCCCTGGGAAGAATGGTGTCCCCTATATTTTTATTAATGTGTCGATATAATTTTAATTTTCTTTATTGGGAGTTTGTTATAATGTTAATGACAATTGTGTTGATATAATTTTAATTTTCTTTTTTGGATGTTCAATAATGTTAAAGGGGGGGGGGGTGCGGGGATGAGACAAGTGGCCATATATTGCTTATTTAACCTTTCCTGAGTTCGGGAAAAATACTTAAAAAATTCAAAATGTTGAGATGTAAGGATAATTACAGAAACAAAACATGATAATCAGGTGAAAACGAGGCTGATCACTTTTTTCAGTAGCTTGGTAGCATTTTCTAACCAACTCATTAATATTCAAGACAAGTCTGTCAATTAATTTTTGGCCGGCGAGCAGCTGATCGAAAAATCGTCCCGACGATCGAGCGACTAGCCTACAGTACACTAGTGTGAAGTCGTGAGTTTTTGTGATCGTTTACGTACGCAGTTACAGAGAGACGGTTTAGTCAACGTCAATTCAATCATGGAGGAATAATTCAATTGAATTAATAAACGTATATCAGTCCGATGACTTGACTTGTTTGTTTATAATTAGGCCTACAGCAGTAGCGCACTCCTGTCCGGGACAATGCTCCAGTCCCGCAGCAGGTGAGTTCGCACGCAGCCTTATCCAGCTGACGGTAAAGATATACAGTAGTAGGTTTCTACTACTAGCCTAGCCTAGACTTGTCATGCCATGCCATCTTTGTCACATTAATCGTGCTAGTGCATTTTTCCCCATAATAATAGACCTAGGCCCCTAGGCCTATTAATAATAGTATACTATAGGCCTGGTCCTATGAAAAACTGTCTAGGCCCAGGCCTAAATGTCTAAAAATGCACTGTCTAAATAAAGGTGATGTGCTATAACATTAACACTACAGTATATCATCAGAGCCAACACCAATTCCTGTAACAATAAGATTATTATTGATATACTGTAGGCCTAGAAGCTAGGCTATACAACAATAACGCCCCATTAAATAATAACATGATGCATGTTACTCCAAACCTAACTTTCAGCTGTTGTTGAAATGTGGAATTCAAATAAAATATTATACATATATATTTTTGTAGGACAAGATATGTGATAGGCCGAAACATGACACTCTTCTCACATAGATATTTGCCAGTCGCCATGATACAAACATACCACAACATTTGCCATGAGTACAACCACCCAACATTGACATCTACGAAAGAAGGTGGTACAAAGCATACAAGCACCCAGCAAGACGTTAGCAAGAAACACTCTGGTTGTTTGCTGAAACTTGTAATGAAAGCTATACACACAATTTAAGGTGAGCAAAAGAAAATTAAGTCGAATATCTCATCACTGTTCAGCCAGAGTACATGAAACAAATATATTGGAATGGTAAAAAAATATCAGCATGGTGTGTCAGTTTTATTAAGAAACAACAATAATACATTACACACTAGCCGACAGGAAGGCTTCAATGAAGTAATTAAAAAATCTGAAAATACTGTCAATTGATGAATGTCTTTTCAGATTAGTACATACAGTATCTCAGTATGGTATGTTATTGATAAAGCAGCAAATGCCAATGTTTGATAACATTTTTGATTT